AGTACATTACTTTCTTAACGAATTGTCTGCCTTTCCCTAACTAGAAAGTGAGCTCCAAAAATGCACAGATTTTACTTTTTCTTCTCTCACTGCTGAATCTCCAGTACCTAGAACTGTGTTGGGTATACAGTATGTACTCAGAAAAAAATGATAACAAATGGATAAATGGATAAATGAACATTCCTCATCCTGGAATACCAATTTCCCTTCTTTATGCCTAGGTAACCTCTATTCATCATTCAAATTCCAGCTTAAATGTCAATTTTTCAAGTCACCTTTTTTTGATCCCTAAGAGAATATCAGCTTTCTCTATAATTTGTCCTTACAGTTCTCTGTACTTCAGAATGTGAAGTTTTCCATAGCACTTATTAGAACTTTAACTTATAAAGTCCACTAATTGTGAGATAATTTGCTTAACTCCTGTCTTCTCTGCTAAACTGTAAATTGTCCCTATCTTGTTCTTTTTTTTTTCTTTTTCTCAGTTTTTTTTTTTTGGTCGGGGGGAGGAGGGAGGTAATTGGGTTTATTTTACTTATTCATTTTTAATGGAGGTACTGGGGATTGAACCCAGGCCCTCCTGCATGCTAAGCACATGCTCTACCACTTGAGCTATACCCTCCCTCTCTAACTTGTTCTTAATCATCTCCCCAGCACCTCACATGATGCCTGGAACATCAAGATGCTCCATCTGTTGAATGGAAACATGGATAGATGGATGATTAAGCAACTCCTCATTATAATTTTCAGTCCCTCTGTTCCGCTCGTTCAATGTTCTCTCAACAAAAAATAGTGATTAGTGAACCAGGATGGAACGTTTTTTTCTAACCTGGAGAAGTTCTTATGCAAACATACTCCTCCATGAATTCACTAATGCTTGTAGCCTCGCTTAAAGTTGATGCCTCATACCAGCCTCTTCACCCCCACGTTATTTAATCAAGTAAATACTTAATGAATTTCTCCTCTGGACCAAACCACACAGAGGGAAAGGTCATGTAAATAGTGTCAAGACCAGAAGCTTTAAACCAGAAGCTTTCTTACACTTGACTGCCTGTGTGAGCTTGGCCAAGTTACCTGTTGAACATTGGATTCCTCATCTGTCAAAGAGAAACAGCAATGCTTATTTCGTGTGGTTTATGTAGGGATTCTTAATAATGCATGTAGTATGCTTGCACATAGTAGGTGCTCGAAAGATGGTAGTAGTTACTAGTATCACTAGAAAGTAAGTTCCTAGAAGGCAGGCTATACTTGCATTCCCAGTGCCTTATGTATAAAATACTCTCAGTAAAGGTTGGTTAAACTTCCCAGCAATGGGAACCAGCCAGAATATGTGCTACTTTTCAACTTTTAAGGAGCTTAAAATCTACGCGAGAAACTACGTTCCAAAACAGATTCATGAAATATTTAGATAATGAAGAAATGTAATACCTTTATAGTGTATAATGCATACAGTATCAGAACAAAATATGTATTATTGCTTAAAAGCACTTAAGTGCTTTTAATGGCCAGACAGGAAATGGTAAGAAGCCGCTGGCTGTAGTTATTGGTAAATGATTAATTCACATGTTTCTGTGTGTAAGATATAGACCGGTGAGCCTCCTATAAAAATATTCCATTTCTTTGTCAAAATTCGATGCTGGCTCTACCAATGTTCGAGAAAACGGATCAACCGGCTGCTTCTGTGTTAGTGTGATGGCAGACAAAACTGGATTATTGATCTTGAGTATCAAGGTGTACTTGTCATAGAGCTTTTTCCCCCTTTAACAACCAGTGGTTAGCTAACCATCACAAATAGGTTCTGATGACGTTGGGTACTGTTGCTCAAATAGAGCTGTATTATGGGTAGGACCTACTAGACTGGAAAACGAGAACGCAGACTCCATTCCATATTCCACTTCTTTGCAGCATGCCCTGCACAGGCTTTCGGTTGAATTGCGTCATCCGTATTCACTGCCTACTGCTGTCCTTTCATCTTACCAAACTCTTTGCTTGCAGCTCTGACAGATGGGGCTGAAATAGTGAGTGTGGACAAACTAGTATTTCTTTTCTCTAGGACGTTGTGTCCTTTTTGTGACTTAGGTGCCTCTGTAAAGGCATTTGACATGGATCCAAACACAAGGACAGCCCATTATAGGCTTTTGATGCACTAACCATCACACCGAAAGGTTCAGAGACTAATTACAGAAGTGGATGCAGCTACCAAACACACTCAGAAGTCCGCACGTTAGGAAGAGATGATCACCATCCTTCCGCACTTTCAAGCCATGTAAGGATGATCCAGACTCCACCCCTGCCAACTGGCAACCAGGCGCACATCCACCTGCCCGGATTCTACATCCCAGTCAGACCAGCTGCTCTGACAATAAGGCACGTGCCCACACCTGCATCCCAGTGGCAGACAAATGTCCTGGAAGCCGGTGCCCCGCACACTCCTACCCACACGATGTACACACACCCAGACGAACCTATCTGAATATTCTAATTCGCCAGGACAGAGACCCGACACTGCTCAAGCACACTCACAAATAAACACACACAAAACACACCCGTGGAATTAATCAACTTGCTTATCCAGGTCGGCAAAGCGCACCGATACCCAGGCTTTCAGGCCCCGCAAAGACCCCTGGAAGAGTGGCTTGCTTTTCTCCGAGCCGTGCACAAACCGGTCCTTGGCCCCCGGCTGCAGTCCGGTGGGCTTTTCAACTCTCGCCTGCGCCCGAACTCCCGGGGGGCCGGGTGGCGCCGGCCGGCCGCGTCCGCTCGGTGCCCTCCCCGCCCAG